CAGTTCTGCTCCCCACTCTGTCTCTGGTGAAGCCTCTCACCACTCCCACACCTCTGGCCCAGACCCCAGTTCGTAAATGCATAAATACATAAATTTTTAAAAAATATATCAATAACAGTGTCTGAAAAGTGGTGGGAGGGAGGAGGTTTGTGTGTGTGCTAATGTGCAGATGATCTGGACAAAGGTCCGCTTGTGGTCACCAGGCGCTAAGATCACCTTAAATGGGCCTTTTTCTTTTCACCCTTCACAAAATGGTGAACTAAGGCAACATATGGAAGTATTTCCACATGGCAAGGGAGTGAGGAAAAAAGCATGATTTGCAAATACTGTCAAATGAAAAATGTGTTTCCATCCTGCGAAGGTGTCCAACTACATTTCTATATGTAAGAATGTTCTGCAGATGTGAAATAATCTTTCCTGGGCTTATAAAAGTGAGAACAATCAAAATCTCTCACTGCTGCTGGCCCGAGAGCACCAAGTCAGGAGGGCCAGTCTCACAGAGAACTGGGGGGCTGCGTTTGTCAGGCGCACAGACAGGTGTCGGTCTCGCCCACTCTGGTCCTGTTGTTAATAGAAAAAAAAATGTAAGAAAGTACAAAAGTTTGATTAAAAAAAGAAAGACATTTAATTTAAAAAAAAAAGAAAATGTGAAGGTCAGAAATGGGGTGTCCCTACGTACTATGGAACAACTTATGGTTACGCGGCTTGTACCCTTGGCCCCTAGGATCAAGGACGTTCGAGGGAGGCTGTGTTCTAGAGCATCTCAAGGGGGAGGAGCCACTAACCATGCTGGTGACCCCCGTCCCAGCTCAGAGAGGCTCCCAGACGGAGTAAACAGACACCAGAGATAAAGATCATCCTGCAAGGGAGGGCTGCTGATGACGGGGATCCACCTGGGGTTCCCTGGGGAAGCTGGAAATGCGGGTTCTCAGGACCCTCCGGCTGACCTGGGCCAGGACTCCTCCCTATAGCAATTGTCCCTGCAGATTCTTTTTGTATATTTTTTAAATAATAGCTGTATTGAGATGTAATTCATATACCGTAAAATTCACCCTTTGGAAGTGTACAGCTCAAAATGTTTTTAGTATATTAGCATCACGAGCTAATCATAGCATATTTTATTTATTTATTTTTAAAGCTTTATTTATTGATACATACAGCACTGGGGTATAGGCCAGAGGTGCAGGGGCG